CAAGATTAAGGCGGCACGTTCCTCCGGCACGTTGGTAAAATTCTGCCAAACTACACGGCGTAACATCCCACAATATAGTATATTTCATATTCACCACAGTGAGCACCTCATGAAAAGGGTTGACGGATCTGCGTTTGTATTAGGAGGTGGGCGGTTCTGATCCCGGTTGAATCATCGGTTATTCTGACAGACGTTCTGGGCCTTTCTAAGTCTATCCACGCAAATACAGACACACTACGTAGACTAGTCAATACAGCTTCATTCGAAATCCTTTTGAATTCAGTATTCATTGATCATACTACCTACGAGTCGATAGGTTATATAGTTCTGATTCTGAGGGCGTCGTAAAGCAGCCCAACAAAAGAGTCGAACACGGGCAGTGCAGGTTGAATATTCCATTCGTTCTTTGACCTGTACTGCCTGTGCTCAACTGCGCACAGTTCTGATTCTGAGGGCGTCGTAAAGCAGCCCAACAAAAGGGTCGAACACGGGCAGTGCAGGTTGAATATTCCTGCCTGTGCTCAACTGCGCTAAATTTCGCCGTCACTTTTTCTAAACGCTTCTTCTTTCTCCTATAAAACTGTTGTCTTCTGTACGTGACCGGTTCTTGCACCAAGCGCTTCCAATTGCTCAACAAACACTGCTTGCTGCCTTCGGTCAACAGCAATAAAACGATTATCAGACGCCAGGCAAATTACACAACACTTAATACATTCTCTACAGAAATGACATCACCTGCCATGTTGCTTAATTCTGTATCCAAGGTAACAATGAAAATCACGTTTACAGCCATAACCACTTTAGCGTGGCCGGAGAAGTGGGGACGCATGAGGGGGGGAAGAGGAGGCGCCACATTCAAGTAGCGTAGCCGCATTACCAGCGCAACATGACCATCGTGTCTGCATTCGTTAAAGCGAAAGGTCAAAAGAACGTTCGGGGACGCTCTTACGAAGTACGTTTCGCGTAAGCCTACCTGCTGACAGGGCATTCGCTGGATGGTAAAGCGCTCAGCTCTGGGAACGCTTTCGATACTTCTATACAAAAGCGCTACTTATCACTCCGAATTAAACGCATGAAAATTGAGGGCACATTTGTAGTTACACACAAAAAAAAAGGTGCTTTCGGGTTAAACTCTGAAATCATACACTCTGGGCGGACTTCGTATGGCAGAAGCCCGTATCTCGTCAATTCTTAGATGATCTCGGAAATAAACCCGTTGCTTTCATTTTCACATAGCAAACGAGCGTCTTATGTGGAGATCCTGTCTGTCCGTTTCTGTATAACCCAATATCAGGGCCTAAACAGTTGAACAACTACGATTTTTCAACCCTACTCATTCATAATATAACCTAGTTTACGTAAGCTCATAAATGGACTATCAGTGTATCCCATAAACCTTTGCACAGATTTCGCTGAAATTTAAACATGCGAGACTTCCACCAAAAATCGGGAAATTACAATTTTCAGACATACTACTCCATAATTAAGAGTAGTTTATTACCGGTAATGCTTATGGACTTCTCGATGTAACCTGTGAATCCTTTCATATAATTTGTTGAAATTCGACACGCTGACTGGAAATTCCTATTTGCTGTCATAATATTACATAATGAAGCCTGGTATGCATGTGACTCTTCTATGTATCCCGCAAACTGTTTCACATACTTGGCTGAAATTCGTTATGGGAGGCTCCCATCATAGTTGTCCGGTAATTTCAATTTTCAGCCATAACAATGCCTAGTTTACATAAGGTCATCAACTGAATCTTCCATGTATACCACAAACAGTTTCACAGATTATGCTGAAATTCGATATGAAAGCCTTTCAATATTGCGTTTAATTATTCCAGTCTGTAACTAAACCCATTAAAGCTCAGAGACCGACGCTGGTAATTCTGTATACTATCTTATGGAGTCCTTGCGACGAGCTAATCACCCGCCCAAGGAGTCCTACCGAATGTTTAAGATCTAGTAAACCGTGAAACGGAGAGTTTCATGGAGGTAGGCCTAGGCCCAAATTGTGGCTGTAGCGCCACAGGAAAAAAATCTTATGGAGTACACTGTAAGCAGTCTTATCTGTTACACAAGACGACAAAAGCATACTGTGTAATTCTTGCAAGGGAAGCTGTGTTCAGTCTTCCAATAAGTCGAGGTGACACAAATGTGCTTTCCCCTAACCAAATTTCTTTCTCAACGGATTAAAGGGTCAATTACGCTGCTGTTTTACGAATCTTGTCTGTGCCGAGTTCAATTCATACCTGGAACTGTATCGGTTTCCTCCTTATTTCCATTGCTACGAAACCACAAGCTGTTGGCTTGAATGGAAATTATTAACGGGACACTTCATTTTAAATCATGCCTTCATTATCAAACCCAGGATTGTTCGGAACATAACTGGGCAATATTTTTAACAAGGTGTTTTCTCCAAATCATGGTAATGTTAATGATGCAATTTAATTTGTGTCAGTCAAGTTCTTCGCCCCGCAAGAAAATAAATTCCTGACTGAGGCTGTTTAACGGTTAGTATTACTGACGTGTTATCTCAGTAGTAAGACTTGAGAAAAGCAATGGTTATGAAAATTGAACATATAAAGCGTAACAAATCATGCAATGCAAAAGCGTGCAATTAATAGACAAAGGAAAAAGAAACGTAAATAGGATAAACTTATTTATTGTTTATTTAACAACACCATTAGCAGCTCAGATTACACAGTGTAGAGTTGTAAGCGACGAAGGAAGTGGTCGTTGCCTACTTTCATGTTCTATCGGTCGTGGGCTCATTTTATGTGCTCTCAAATGCCAGGAAGGTGAGAGGAAAAGGCGAACCTCTTTCTACCTTCACGGAGGATGTTATTCTTTGGTGATTTCGTATAGGCTTGCTTATCTTATGCTGATGGTCATTTACTGTAGATACACAAATAGTAGTATGAGTAAAATAACTGGCTACTGAAAAGCAACCAGTGTCCAAACCGGTCTGCGTACCACCTTACCTCTTTTTTGGCAAGCAGCTCTGGTAAAGGGGCCGAATCGCGAGAAACACAACTAGTACACAGGCTCAGAATTTCTCACAGGACTAGTCAAAGTCGATGAATATGTATCCCTTACAGGAGTGGACAAAATAATGGAAGCACTAAGAAAATGAGGAACAGAATTTGTGTCGGCTACACTGAAAGAACTTCAGCTGGCAACACTGAATGTTCCTTCTTCCGTTTGCCTGTACTCTGTAGTGCTCATGTCAGTGCATCAGTGATCCAGCTGAGTGACAGTCCGTGTGAAAGAATCGGAAAATGGAAGGCTTGCCCGATTTTGAAAGATCGTTGGCTTGCATTTAGCTAGAGCATCTGTGGCAAAAATTGGCACATTATTAACGGTTTCTAAGCTAATGTCGGCATACACGAATCGTGGGAAGACATCATCAGCGAAGAGGAACAGAGAGCGAAAGTCAACATTGACAGAAAGGGGCAGCCGTACATTGAGAAGGATTATTCCGAATAATCACAGAACCACTGCAGCGCATGTGACAGCAGAACTTATCTTGAAGACCCCGTTTCCACAAAAACTGTCCGACGTGAGCTTCAGACATCCAACATCAACGGTAAGGCTGCAACTGCTAAACTTCTGTTCAGAGACAGTAATGCTCATATGCGTAAACTATGGTGTCATATCCATACAACCTGGACATCAGACAACTGGAGACGCGCGTGATATGGTCACGTGAGACGTCATTTCCGCTGTCCCCTACATCAGGAACAGTTTGCGTTTGGAGAACAACAATAAGGAAAGTATGGTTCCAACAGTGAAACATCACTGGACCAGTGATTGAGATTAGCTCTTTATAAGGGGCCCAACTGAGTAGGTGTCTTCCTTTCTCACGTCGTGTCCTCTATTACCTAGAATTCCGGACGATGGAAACAGTCCAAAACCCAGTAATTCTGTGTTCCAACAGAGTAATGGCTGTATACTATTTGCGCAAGGTGTAGAAAAAAAAAGCTACTAGTTGCAGTGTAACCTACATATGGTACTAGCGTACAATAACTAACGCATATCAGTAAATTTTATACCAAGTAGCCCACTGTATACTGCAAAATTCAGATTAAATAATTCACTGATTTCTGGTGCTTCCAATCGAGGTATACTCAAAACTATATTTACTTTAACGGAACTCCAATTCTATGATCCACGTTGTAATCATACGCTAAGAATTTAGTCTATTTACACTGGCCAAGACAGAGACGTAAAAAATTTTAAAAGATAAGCCTACCAATTCATCATGTGTCATTCCACTATAAATAGGCTATCTGAAGAAATTAATATAGCTTCGCTGTTATCAAATATACACACAGTAAACTTACATTGAGATCACAATATACGATTCTCCAAAATCACCCAATTTATTACACTGCGTTATCACTGGCACTAAAAACCCACTGATGTCGGATTATTTTTTTTCGTCCTCAACTGACTATCTTCAATGGCAACGAATACTACAAGAATGTTTACGTAATTTCCTTAAAATATTTAAAATGAGTCATTTCAATTAAAACTATAAATCTTGAAACACTTAAAAATTAATAACATGTTACGTACAATGACAGACGGAGGTATATGCCTGTTATGCTGTAATGTCACTATAACGCTGAAGGCTGTTTTGTATGAGAAGCTCTTCATCGCCTTTGAACGTCGATTTGATAGTGTATTTCGGTATCTCTGTAGTGGCATCTATGAGTGGGAGTGTTGACGTATGTACGGCTGTACGAATAATTAATCATTAAATCAATTTTACGCACTTAATGGAAATTTTATACTTATCTTAACGCAGAGTGCACAGACAACAATGAATTCTATCAAAATGGGTCGTCATACACTTCATCCGACGCCTTTAGTCTCATTTTTCAGCATCTGATAGCAAGATAAATTGTACAGATTTAAGAGAAAGACAGACAGATAAGCAGAGATAACACGAACTGCACCGACACCACGCCAGTGAGTGAAAGAGTGTACCTTGTCCCTCCCATCAGCTGTCTTGTTGTCGTCTTGTGTAGCTGAGATCGTGGCGACGCGATAGGAATCAGATCGCCCATGCTGAAACACAATAAAAATGCAGGGATGCCTAATAACTACAGTCCAAAACGCAAATAAAAAATATTACAAACTAAGGGGAAAAAACTTACATTATTTCATGCAAAATCATAGGAAACAGGAATGTGGCCATTTCTAAAGGTCGACAACAATTGCAAACATATAAAACACAGTACAACAAAAACAATACTAGCACTTATACAACTTAAATTAAAGTTATTACATAAAACCATCAACAGTCCCGCTGCGTGTTAATGCCATTCGAGACCCCAAAAGGTCTCTTTTAGAAAGGGTTAACTTACATGCTCACACCCACGTCATCTTAGTTCTAAATCAACTGAAAGTGTGCAAGCATTATGGATGTACGTGCAGCGAAACAAACCGCTAACTTTGGCACAAGAAACAGAGTAGGTTAACTCCGGCAGCAGAACCAGGGGGTTCAACAGAGTCCTGAATCGGTTCAACCTAAGCTCAATTTCTCATGTCCATTAAAAGTGATTTAAAATGTTCTCCTTCTTCGTCTTCCAAGTGGTTTTCCCAGCCGGTCGAACTACAGGTCGAGTGCACTGCTCACTTCACAGTCATTTTTAATTTGTGGCCCATCTTACAAGATGAGAAACAACTTGCAAAGTTACTGTTTTGTACACTCATTCATCTCTTCGAGGACTACCATCTTAATGTGGAGAGACGTTCTTCGCGCCCCAATGACTCGGACAGCTACAACGGAGGGAACATTAACGCTTGTAGAGCCACCATGCCAGACAGGTCAAAGTGTAGTCCCTGATCCCTCAGGGTCGGGTTGGACGTTGTGGTAATGACCCCACCCCGGTAAAATTTCCTGTTACGAGACCATAAAGAAGGCCAAAACCCACACAACAGGGCTGTAGTGTACCCCCAAACCTCCCGCCGATGAACTGAATTTTAACATTCTTAAACTAAATAACAACACTCATTTCCTTCATTTTTTTCAAATTTTAACACAAAACTAATACAGGTAATTTGCACCAGGACATGGCTTATGTGCAAGTAGAGGTACAGCTCCATGCATTTTTTAACCTCGGCACTAGATGAAAGTGAGTGGTCAGCTTCACGTACCCGTCGCTTTAACTTGGGAGAAATAACCACCCCCCAAACGAAAAGTCTCTTGTCACCAAAGGGAATCGAATTCAGATTCCTTGGTCGTCCAGCCCCTAGCCTATCCTCCCTAACCCCTGAGCTATCCCGGCTCACAATATGGAAACAAATAAATGGTGGAAAAAGCTTTTGACACTACCTCATAGCTACTGCTTGTGCCAAGGAAAAAAACATCCCTGGGATAGGACTACTCACGAGGGCAGCAAAATCATCATCTTATTACACTTATTTCGGGTTAGATTAATTTGTACAAGGGACACGTACAGTAAATGGTAAAACCTCGCCTACGCCTAAGCACAGCACCCCAAATGACTACAGAAGCGTGGGAGCACGCATTCTACATGGCGTCCAGGATTACGAAGAAGCTGCGGTTCCTACACTTCCTTACGGCTTCATGGGTATGAAATCTGTTCCTATTTCCCCACATTTCACTGCAATGCAGGTCTAACTGCGTTCCCTCTATATGAGGACGTACTGCAATCAATTAGTAGTTTATTCAACCGATCGAAAGCTTTATGCTCCCTCAAACATACACAGCAAAGCGGTGGCAGCGATGGTGGTACTACCAACGTTTTTATATTTTCAGATCTTCCCCCTTCAAAGGAAAATTTACAACATTTATTCCGCCAGGTCGGTCGAGTGCGGGTTTTGTACGGCCCTAGAGTACCACGCCGAAGCCTCAGGTCCAGTGCCTGCTATACGTGTCCGTCACAGCGTCCTTACAGTTAAGGACAGCAGTCTTACTGTAAAATCTACCTACTCCCGGCTTCGAACTCTAGACAAACGTCGTCGGCTTTCACGCCTCGGGTGCTCTACTCCCTGGGAAAGGGCCGCAAGTACGTTAGACAGAAAGCTGAGGGAGAGGACCGAGAGGCTACTTTGGATGTGACGGCTGCAGACCGAGGTTTCTCGACCTAGGACAAATGCAGAGCTATTCAGTAACAGTAAGGAAGAAGACTAAACATGACAGTTGGTGAACACTGTTATGTAACATCACCAGGGGCCTTGCTACTCCCGAAATAGCGTCACTGAACCTGCCAAGATACTTGCACTGCTGTACAACATGGGCCTTCTAGTGGCAAAGCCTGTTCATAATCAACGGGAGTCACTGTCACGATTTAGAGTGTGACTATAGAAGGGGTATGGACTGGATGCTACTACATTTATTCACGCAACCCGGAACTACAAGTATAATTACAGCGCCATCACTGATCTCCACACTTTACTAATCAATAGGACAACCTAAGTCTTCTTCAGTCTGTAGTGTCAACAGCCGTTTTCTTATATCGGATGTTAACAGTCGAGAATCTTCAGCTTCCCGGGCTAAGGTCCTTCCTGTCCAGAGAATATCCCGCGACCGAACTCTCTCAATTCCTTTCAACCATAGCGCCATCTCTTCTCAGCCTCTCTTGCAGAGCTCACTGAATTGCCAACCATCAGCTCTCTTTATTCCACCCACTCAACTAAGAATTACTTTACGCCTGGCGGTTTGCCGCCAATCAGTTCGCCTTGGCGACAAGCCCCTTAAGGATCACGACCAATTTTCTTTTTCAACTCAACACTTCCGGTTATAGCTCTTGGATAACTTCGTCTCTGACGAGAGGATGGGTCTGTCGTTTACAATTACTACTGGTCCTCGCCAGCGCAGTCATTCTCAGGTCCGAGTCCCGTGGGGCTCATGACCATATTTTACTGTCTCGGATTCGAGACCCCCCCCAACATGGAGGGCAAAGTCCCTGTATTTACGAGTATATCGCCAGGAACAGGTGGCCCAGTTATACCTCCAGGCACTGGGTTCCATTTTCGTCGCCTCCTACGAATCATAGGGCTACGGTGGAGGTATTCGAACCCGCTTTCACTGAGTCAAAGTCAAGTCATAGTCAAAGTCACATTGCGACTAGATATTTATTACTGTTTGACATTTCCGGTCTTGTTTTTGTGTGGCGCCCTCTCTGGCGAGAGGACGGGTCTGTCTTTTGTACATTCTGCTGGCCCTTACCAGCGCAGTCTTGCTCATTTCTTTATTCTTTTACATTATAAACATATTAAGATTAAGTTCTTCATATTGATGTTGATTAGCATGGGGTTTTGACACTTGCTTTAACTATTCCAGAGGGTAAAAGTTATCCGTGGTAACTGGCCGCGGAGGCCCATAGGGTTGTGAGATGTCGAGGCTCCAATATTTTCTAGACAATCAGCTAGCAGATGGCGTTGAGGTTGTCAGCCTCGCGCGCTGGCCGCCCTTAACCCCCAGAAAGATTCTTGGCACTCATCTGTTAAGAGGCTGAGTCAACACTAGGGTCATGGTACGGCTGGAAGGTTTAGGTTAATTGAAAAATCCATTGGCCTCATCGGGAATCGACCCCGGGACCTTCCGGCTCACGAAATATGAGAACTGCTGGTTAAGGGAATATTAAGTTATATATCCATATAATTCGTTCCTTAAGCACTTTACAGCCACACTTTCGTATGCTGTAATGGTTTACTGGACACATGGAGAAGTCCACTTATGGTTTCAAGGAAAACAGGCTTTGTAACCTGTCAATGTGGGTAAAAATCTAAACAGCCTTAGCCGTTATGCAAGGATCTCTTCATATTTTTGTGACTTTACTTATGGTAGGGTTTGTAATAGGCCAATATGGATAACAAACTAATTTTATGCCAAGGTCTCATATCGAATGGCCATAAGTAAAACTGTCACTGTAGTTGAAAATCAGAACTGCTCAACTTCTGATTAATGTTTCCCGTAGGCCGCGCCATAGCTCAAGCGGTTAGTCGCTGGCTTCCCAATGCGGCGGCCCGGGTTCGATCCCGGGTCTGGTCAAGTGGGATTTGTGGTGGACAAAGTGGCGCTGGGGCAGGTTTTCTCCGAGTATTTCGGTTTTCCCTGCCAATCTTCATTCCACCAACTACTCCACAATCACGCTCACCTATTAACTGGGGCTGGTACAGGAGGCCAGAAGTGGCAGCAGTACAAGGGACTTAGTCCCATCCCACTAGCAATAAAAAAATGTTTCCCGTCAGTAAAGTTGTCTTCAGCACGGGTCACCGAGGTTGAAAATCGGAACTTCTCAACTTCTGCTGAATGTTTCCCATAAGTGAAGGTAGCTAGCACTAAGCGGCCTCCGTAGTCTAGGGCTAACGTTCCAACCTCATGACTCAAGGTACGCGGGTTTAAACCCGGCGGAGGTCGTGGAATTTTTAAGGGGGGAAAAATTCAAGGAACAAGTCCTCCGGGAGGGACTTTAAGGCGTGGGTCCCGTGTCGTAGATTTACGGCACGTAAAAGATCCTCATGTCTCTAGGAGACCTCTGAGCAAAATTAGGCAAGCTTCCCGCCCAAGTAGTTTCCAATGCCTCTGGTAGATGAGGGAAGCATCGGGTACCGAGNCAATGGACCAATATTTGGTCTAAGTGCATGGGGAAACCCACCCCCTCAAATAATAATAATAATAATAATAATAATAATAATAATTAAGCACTATGCCATGAAGACATGTGGAGTGGAGGTACAGCTCCACCATTCTTGGCCTCGGCACTAGATGAAGATGAGTGATCAGCTTCACGCTCCGGTCGCTCTACCTCCGGGGAAATAGTCTCCTGTACCCAGTGGACAGGAGGCAGGGTGAGTCCTAGAGAAAAATTTTACGCCTACCGGTACTGAAACTCGACCATCTAGCCCGCTGCCCGTCGATAAAAAACAATTTTCTAGTGGTTTAGGTGCTGATACACAGTCAGTTACAAATGGACGGAGAAATACGAATTTCAGATTAAGGGTTTCTTCTTTTACTTTGTAAATAGCGCCTAATATAGGCAGCAAGATTTGCAGTCCCACAGCCTTCTCTGTTAACAGATCTGCTTGGCGCGCAG